TGTTTTTTCTATTTCTTTATACCAATTATTGTAACTATTCTTTTGTTTTTCTTTGACAAAAGTTTTGAAAATTTGTATTTTGGATTCTAACCCTATTTCTGTTTTGCATTTGCTTTTTGTCATTAACTTTTTAAAGAATTTTAACAGCTATCCATGTTTTATCTTTTTTTGGTTAGGCAAATAGTCTCCCCCCTCCCAATTTTTCCTTGAGAATATCTGTGGTTTCAATCTGCAGTTCTTCTGGTTCACAGTTAACTGAATCTAGTAATGGAGATCTGTTCTTTGTGTGGACTTTAAATTCATCAGAATATTTAAGTTATATTTTGGCCCTATAATTCTTTTAGTAGTGTTTTTCAACTTTGCTCTAGTTTTTGATTAAGCACTTGTGATCTATACCACTGTCTGTCCCTGGTGTTGTTTTCATAAAAAGAATATAGCTCCATCTTCCTCCAATTATATAGACTATTTAATTTCTGTAATGACCATCTGGTGATATCCATATGCACAGGCATTTGTTTCTGAACATGCTGGTCATATAAGCCAGTTTTGAGATAGTTCTTAGCAAGTATAATTTATATGAATTTGCAACAGGAAAATTCATTTCTATATGCCTATGCAGTACAGAAAATTTTTAAGAAAAGCAGGATTATTAGTATAAAATATTCAGATTTACTGTTTATTATTTGCATCAACTGTGAAATACCTTATAACTCTCTTGAGACACCTTATACCCCCTTGGTTAACCTAAATCCAAGCAGGACTCTTCACTTTTCAGACATAAGTAAAGTGACTTAGGGAAGGGATTGGGTCTAGGTCTTCCTCTCTAAGTGTGTACATAAAATCCAGAGGTCATAATGCCTGAAGATCGCTTAGCTTATATCATATATCTAATTCTCTCCAATAATTGTCATATATGATCACATGTTAACTATCAAAAACTGTCCAGCATTAAATGTAACTTGTATGCTGCTTGCCATGATCCATATGCCAGTGTGTGACATTCCTTCAAGTAGATCAGGGGTCAGGGAATTTTTTTACCTTCCCCCCCCAAAAAAAAATTATATACACCAACATTACCCCCTTGATTTGAAAGGAAGGAAATCATACATTATTTGAATTAAAATATTATTGAATCTGCACAGGCTGTGTACTGAACTAGCAAGATGCACCAAATTTGACAAAGATGTGCACTATTTTTGCGGGAACACATTGCACTCCAGCCATGGGGCGGTATAGGGAGTAGTAAGGTGTCCAACGTGCCTAGCAAGTTGCATTAAATTTTTGCTAGCTCGCAGAGAATTTAATCATCATCAGTGGCTGCCAGAGTGGTGCTAGCAATGACATGCTTGCTAGAGACAGCCAACGCAGAAAGGGGGGGGGGGCTTTCCCTACCACTTTAATCATTCTATGTGTGGTGTGCAAAAAGGAATAAACCAGGCTAAAGG